AATATAAAATCTTGATATCATTTAGCGACAAAACACAACAGAACAGAATTAAAAAAAAAACAGAGAATACAAATTATCATGTTACAATTCATCATACAATAATTACATACTTCATGATCAATGTATTACACTTTTCATAATCCAGGAATTACATCAATTTTTTTTCGGAAAACGCTTATTACCTTGCGATATTCGAGTATAACAAAAAAAAAAAAAAAATTCATTGCATTCAGTGACAAAACGGAATATAATAAGATTGAAAAACAGATATTCCGAAGAATACAAGTTGAACGAAAAATATAAAAACTTGATTAAAGAATTACGCTCTTCATGATCCAAGTGTGATCTTTTAGTGACAAAACGGAATTAAAAAACAGAGAATACAAATAATCATGTTACAATTCATCATACAATAATTGCATACTTCATGATATAAAACTTTTCATAATCCAGGAATTACATCAATTTTTCTGTTTCCGTTTCCGGAAAACGCTTATTACCTTGCGATATTAGAGTTTAACAAAAAAAAATATAAAAACTTCATTGCATTCAGTGACAAAACGTAATATAATAAGATTTAAAAACAGATATACCGAATAATACAAGTAATCATGTTACAGTTCATTATTCTATAATTACATATTTCATCATGAAAAAACTACACTCTTCGTAATATACAAATTACGCACTTTGTCATCAATTTTCCAGTTTCCGTTTTCGGAAAACGATTATTACTTTGTTGAACGAAAAATATAAAAACTTGATTAAAGAATTACGATCTTCATGATCCAAGAGTGATCTTTTAGTGACAAAACGGAACAGAATATTATTAAAAAACAGAGAATGCAAATAATCATGTTACAATTCATCATACAATGATTACATAATTCATGATCAATGTATAACACTTTTCATAATCCAGGAATTACATCAATTTTTCTATTTCCGTTTTCGGAAAACGCTTATTACCTTGCGATATTCGAGTTTAACAAAAAAAAAATATAAAAACTTCATTGCATTCAGTGACAAAACGGAATATAATAATATTGAAAAACAGATATACCGAAGAATACAAGTAATCATGTTACAGTTCATTATTATATAATTACATATTTCATCATGAAAAAACTATACTCTTCATAATAAACACATTACGCTCTTTGTCATCAATTTTCCAGTTTCCGTTTTCGGAAAACGATTATTACTTTGTTGAACGAAAAATATAAAAACTTGATTAAAGAATTACGATCTTCATGATCCAAGAGTGATCTTTTAGTGACAAAACGGAACTGAATATTATTAAAAAACAGAGAATACAAATAATCATGTTACAATTCATCATACAATAATTACATACTTCATGATCAATGAATTATACTTTCAAAAATCTTAGAAAAACACTCAATTTTCAAGAATTACATACATTTTTATAGTTAAATGGATGATGGTAATCCAAGTACGCCAATCATCTGACCTCGCTCGTCTTGAACCGATTTAACCTTGCGATAGTCAAGTTTAACCGAAAATATACAAAATTCATTGCATTTAGTTTCTAAACGAAACAAAATAGATATGAAAAAAGCCAGACAAACTGGAATACACAAACAATCATGACCATTACCTCTTCGTCATCACTAACAACTTTCCATCGACTTGAATCGATTGTTTAATCTTACAATGATCCAGCATTAAAAATCGTCCAATACATTCACCATTATCAAAGCATTGCTCTCTCCATCATTAGAGAATTACACTCTTCATCATCCAAGAATTATTACACTCTTTATTATCTGAGAATTACAAACTTTAACATTTTTCCTGTTTCCGATTCTGTGTAAAAATAAAAATAAACAATTTTATTTCATATATTTTTATATTTAGCAAGTTTTTTATTAGCTGGAATAAAAAACTTGAAAAGCCAGATGAAACCCAATTTCATACAATTTTGATGGGTAAATCTTAAACTATTCATTATAAAAGAATTAGACTTTTAATATACAATACAATTACTACACTCTTCATTCCTATTTCCGTTTCCGGAAACCGCTTTTAATCATCATTACCCTAATATGCCAATCATCTGACCTCGCCCGACTTGAACCGATTTAACCTCGACTTGATCCGAAAATATACAAACTTGATTGCATTTAGTTTCAACACGGAACAGAATGAGATGGAAATAAACCAGACAAACCGGAGAATAAAAACAATCATGTTATACTTAATAATTCAATAATTACACTCTTCAACGTCAAACAATTAACTCTTTATCAACAACTACATTTTTTCAATTTCCGTTTCCGGAAACCTGCTTATTACAATCATTGTTTAAGTATGTTAATCACCTGACCTCGCCCGACTTGAACCTATGGTTTAACCTTACGATGATCGAGCAGAACCAAAAATAATATACAACTTAATTGCATTTCGTTTCAAAGCAGAACAGAATAGGTGTAAAAATTGTAAAATAAAGACAATCCCGAAGTGTAAATCATCCAATTCATTCTTCATTATCAAAGAATTAGTCTATTCATAATTAAATAATTACTCTCTTTATAATCCAATAATTATTACGCTCTATATGATCTGAGAATTACAAACTTCAACATAAACATAATCCAAGTATTCTAATCACATGTAGTTAAAATAATCAAGCAGAACTGAAAATAAACAATTTTAGTTCATTTAATTTAGAAACTTAGCAAATCAGGAATGAAGAACTTGAAATACCAGTTTAAATGAAAATCCAAACAATCCGTATGTGCAAAACTCACAATACATTTGAACGCTTTATAGTTCAATAATTACGATCTTCATTATCTGACAATTAATTTCTTCATCTTTAGAGAATTTCACTCTTCATCATTCATTTCATTCATTAACATTTATACTGTTCCCTGTTCCGGAAAATTCATATTATCATTATAATCCAAGTATGCAAACCATATGTACTTAAAACGATCAAGCAAAATTGAAAATAAACAATTTAATTAAATATAGAAACTTGGCAAAGCAGGAATGAAAAACTTGAAAAACTCGATGAAACGTAATTCCATACAATCCCGATATGTCAATCTTCCAATACATTCTTCATTATCGAACAAGTACATTCCTCATCATTAGAGAATTACACTGTTATTATTACGCTGAGAATTACAATCTTTAACAGTTTTCCTGTTTCTGTTTCTGCAAGCCTCATACCAATAATTGAGCAAAACCGAAAATACACAACTTTGATTGACTTTATTTGAAAATGTAAGGAAATGTGAATAAAAAACACGAAACGATAGAACTTTATATGTGAATTATACTAATCATTATGAGAAAATTAAAATTTTCATCGTTCAAAAATTACAATCTTCCTAATCTAAAAATTAATCTGTTCATCATTAAAGATCTAGATTCTTCATCACCCAAGAATTATTATACTTTTTATCATCTGAGAAATATACTTTTTTAACAGTTTTCCTATTTCAATTTTCGAAAACCTATAATAAACATCATAATCCAAGTATGATAATCAACTGATTGCAAATAACTTGATTGCATACGGATAAAAAACGTAACAAAAATGGAATTGAAGTCTTGAAAATCCATAAAATATGATAGTGCTCCTCACTCTTTATTTTTTTATAATTCCACTAAGAATTTTTAGAGAATCACATTTTAAAAATCTATGTATGTAAACTACCTGACCTTATAATAATCAAACTAAACTGAAAATAAACAACTTCATTGCATTTCGTTTAGAAACGTAACTGAGAAGGAATGTTTTCTGGCTTTTCAGACGAACTGGAGAACGCATACAATCACAAAGTGCAATTTGGAATTCACCTGATGTGTATTCGTTGTTGGAAGTCTCTCGGAGCCCAGGCAAACAATGCAGACTTGAAAATTTAACGAAACCCAAGCTTCTTAAAGCCCGAATCCGCCTCAGAATATTTTAACGCAATCCACATTTAACATATATAAATCCCATGAACGTTACGTAACGAAGCATGATGCAGCAGTTGAATGTTTCCATTTAGAAATCTACTTGTCCCATAAATCAAAGGAAATATTACATTTTGTCTGAGTTCTTCGAACAATTGGATTATTTTTACTTCCTGCTTTTAGTTAAAAATAGTGAATGTGCTTTTAAAAGCTTTCCAAATTCAATCTCGATGAGAATAAATTGACTATACGCATTTTTAAAAGCAATATAAATCAATTACATTCTCATAATCTTATATTATTTCTACTTATGTTTTTATTTCATGTTCACATATTTTACAAGTTTCCAGCAATAATTTATAAAAAATTATGATTGAAAATCAATACATTTAATAAATTATTAATTAGTTCTATTATCTTATAGTCAAAACACGTTTACTTTTATATGTAGATTGTTAATTTATCATTGAATTGAAACTATTTTGAAATAATTACAAGTTATATAAGTTTCTTTTTTTTTTGGTTGAAAACAAAAAGTATTAATTCGTGAGCATGGAAATTGGTTACGAATTAAACTTCGTGAGGCCGGAATGAAAAAGCAATTAGGACCAACTGCGAACGAATACTTATAAAATTTATCTAAAACTCACTTGTTGCATATTAATGCGGATTTTCCACATTCTGCCTTCGAAGTTGACGTGGATTACTACGATTGTTCCGAATTAGCAAGGAAATAATTAGTTCGCAATAGTTTTCAGAACGTTATTAATGTTCAGAATGAAAGAAATAATTTTAACCATTTAAAGTTTTTTCTCCACTGAAAAATGTAATTCCTATAACATTCGTTTAATTTAAATTTTTTATATTTAATTAAATTTTAATACTAACTGTTTCATAATTCATTACAAATTTAAACTTTTAGTTGAGATTTTTGTCCACTTTGAGAATTTCTTAACAAATTGTTACAATGACGAAGTGCTACAATTCAGTTATTAAAATTTCACTTGTCCATTATTTAACATATCTTAACTTTAATCTTAAATATAATTAACTTAAAAATAACTTACAATTATAATTGGATTACGATTCTATTGAAATCCTTTGATTCCTGAAACAAATAAATAAATGTTAATGAAGAAATAATGATATATATAAAGAAAATGTTAATAATTTACTATTTTTTAGTTGGATATTGGATTAGGTTGAAAGAAAGGTTATAAAATGTTAATAAATAACATCTTTTATTTTCAATTTCGGAAAGTAAATAATTCTTGAATTCGAGACGATGAAACAAACGGTGCAGGAAAATTGAAAGATCGAACAATTTGATCCTGCCTTCCCATTAAGATTTACGTGACGGATAAGAACTATATTTGCAACAATACCGCAATACCTATCCGCGATTCCGCTACTATGTCACCATTCTGTAAACTGTAAATGTCATCTCGAATCTCCGTAATTCAATCACATAATTTACTTTAAGAAAATAGAATAGAAAGTCTTACATCCTCATTGATGCATCATCAATAATAAGTACAAATTTATCCCTGTTTAGAACATGAACACTAGAATCTATAATTTAGGAGTTCCTCAAGGATATATTACTGTTCTTGTTCTAGAAACTGTAAATTTCATCTCGAATCTACGTAATTCAATTACATAATTTACTTTAAGAATATATAATAGACATTCTTACATCCTCATTGATACATCAACAGTAATAAGTACAAATTGATAACTATTTAGAAAATTAACACTTGAAGTCTGGAACCTATAGTTTAGGAGTTCCTCAAGGAATCGTTACTGCTCTTATTATACAATCGAATAATTGATTCATCAACAAAAATAAGTGAAAATCATTTGTAAAAGTCTAGAAAATGTATAGTTAACGTATAGATTCTAAAATTTAGGAGTTCCTCAAGGATCTATTACTGTTCTTAAAATACAAACTGTAAAAGTCATCCCATAATTCAATCATGAAATTTTCTTCAAAAATACAATAGAAATTCTCACTTCATTATTGATTCATCATCAACAATAACTATATTATAAAGTTTAAAGTTCCTGAAAGATCCAATACTGTTCTTAAGTTTGTTAGAAAATTAACAATTTAAGTCTAGATTCAAAATTGTATTCTATGCTTTTCTCTTTATACAAACTTTAAAAATTGTCTCTAATTTCCTAAATTACAGATGACTTTTACATAAAATATACTTTCAAAATTGCTTTCAAAAGATGCAATAGATATTTGCATCATCATTGCTTAATCATCATAAATATGTAAAAAATAACAGTTAAAATCTAGTTACAGTCTATAACCTACAGTTTAGGAGTTCATCAAGAATCTATTACTCTCTAGAATCTCCGTAATTCAATTCTTATTTCATTGATTCATCAATATTAAGCAAAAATTAACAGTTAAAGTATATATTTTAAAGTATAGGAGTTCCTGAAGGATCCAATACTGTTCTCAATATAGAAACTGTAAACGTCGTCTGAACTATTTGTTATTGAATTATATAATTTACTTAAGAAAATATAATTTAAATTCTTATATCATCATTGATTCATCATTAGCAATAACTGAAAATTAGTTAAAGTCTACATTCTAAATTTTAGAAATTCCTCAAGGAACCAAAACTTTTCCCATTATACAAACTTAAAATTCATCTCGAATCCCCTGAATTTTACATAAAATATATAGTAAAATGTATTTCCAAAAAATCCAATTAAAATTCTTATATCAATATTGATTCATCATCAACTATATGTGAAAATTAAAGTTTGTAAAATTACTAATTAATGTCTAGAATAATATTTAATAGCTTACATTGCTACTTTTTGCATTAGGCGGAACTAACTTTCTGGATAATTTATAAAAAGCTGTTTTTTTTTCCTATGTAAAGCTATGTATAACTAAAGTACAAATAAAACTGTCATACTGTATTAAAGGTAGAGAACTAAATGTATGATTTAACTAGTCTTACATGAATAAATTTGGATGTGGGAAATACAAAAAAAGTATGCTGTAATGAAACGTTGTAACAGGATAGAGCTTAATTATTGAGCTTCCGTCAATTCGGGGCGAAAAACCGAACGTAAATCAATTTTAAATTCAATTTGCAACGAGACTATTAAATTATGAATGCGAGTCGCGGCCTCCTCCCCTATGAATGGCCGGAAATAATACAGAATTGCGCAACAAAACGTATTCCAATTTTAATGCCACCGCAGTAAGTAATAATTTATTGTTTTTATTAAAAACCCGATGAATGGAGGGAAGCAAGGGTGAGTTCTATGTGTGTTTTGTACTAAACTTCGTTCTTCCCTCAGGATAACGTTATTGCGGCCCTCCGGGCCGCTCAGGTAATCAACTTTATATTTATAGAACCTCATTAAAACTGCACAAATTAGAGCCTGTGCAGAAAATTAAATTTTAAAAAAAAATCCAGCAGAGAAAAAAAAAACAATATGCGCATACAGTTTAATTACATTCGGAAACAATTTACAAATACCTCGCTTAGTGCTGGTAATCTGTTTAAAACCGGACTAATCGAGGACTTATATGTATAAAAAATAATTGTGAATACTAATTTTTTTCGTATTTATTTTGTACGATTAAAATTTAGTTGATTGTGAAACTGAATTCGTACAAAGAGAAATAGTTTCCAAAAAATGTATTTATAGAATTCGTTGCAACAATTTTAATGAATTTAACTATTAGTTTAGTGCGTGCAAACAAGGGACATTCAAATGACAACGCATTGATTGCATTAACTCAACTAAAAGCGTTCATCGATAAAGCTTGAATTTGTAACACAAAATACGAATATATATATGAAAAAAAAAACATAGAGAATCGCAGAACAACAACAATATTTATTCTGCAATTAAAAACGCTCGTTTTGAATTTCAACGAGACAAAAACAATGCTGCATTTATAAATAACAAAAAAAAATGATGGTAACAGAATCTGCCGTAAACAATACACCTTTTGTTGTTGAATTTTCCAATTTAGTGGACGCAAAATGGAATATTTCAAAAAAATAAGTTAATGTTAATAATTTTATGGGGGGAAACAATTTGATTATGCAAGTGCACGTTCGCATCTGTCGTTTGATTAAAATCCTATTTACATTTGAAAGCTCAAGAGAAGACGGATATTTTCTATTAAATTTTAATTAAATTTTATTGTTTCCATTGAGTCAATATAAATATATATATATTCTTTATCTTCGCTTCTTTATATTGTTGAGGGCTCTTGTTGTGTAATTACATTGGATTAATTAAATTTCAAAGTGTTTAATGACAGAAATCGAAGAAATTCCATCTTTTCATGAAGAAGTTAATTATTTTTCTCGGTTATTTCTCTTTATTGTATATTTAGAATAATTTACTATGGAAAATGCAGAATAAAAATAATAATTTATTTTTTTCTGAATTAACTTAACGATTTTCTTCAAAAATAAGAATTGAAAGCTCTTGTTGTGTAATTAAATTGGTTTAATTAAATTTCAAAGTGTTTTAATTACAGGAATCTATGAAATTTGATCTTTTCGTCGAGAAATTAATCATTTTCATGGCATATTTCTCTTTAATGTAACTATGTAATTACAAAAATTTCGGAAAACACTATAAAAAAATCGTATACAAATAATTCATTTTTCTTTTGGATTTTTATCCAGAAAATACTTTTTAAACGTAAAAAAAAGGAAATTTCTTTTATGAAAGAAATTGATAATATTATAAGAAACTAAGGCATCAGAGTGATTTCATTAAAAAAATCAGCAAGTATTATTACTGTTAAATAATAAATAAAACTTTCAAATTAAGAAATTTCAAAATTGTTAAAAATATGAAAATAATTTATATTGAAATTTAGAAAATCTTACAAAAACAAAAAAAAAATTATTAAAATATGTTTGATTACAATATTGAATATTATTTTACGATATGGTTTAAATCTATATTTCAAACCAAAAAACAACTTTTACTAATATTTTTTATAATACAAAATTTATTATTTTTCACATATCAAAGTAAAAATAATAGGAGGATTGATTTTATTGTTTCAAAATTGTAAATTTTCTCAATAATTAAAGTACTTTAAACCTCCACAATTACATTTTAATTGAAACATAACTAAGAGTAATCACGTAATCAAAACATATATAATAAGATTATACAAAATTATAAAATACAATTTGTAAATTAATAATTTGACGGAAACAAAAAAAACAACAAGCGAAAAGGGTCAATTAATCAAATTTATAAGGAAGTTATAATTACAAAAAAAAAACTAATTAATTTTTAATGAGAAATTACGTTCATAGATTGAATTATTAAAATAACGATTGATACAAACAAGTATGTTCTGATTTTACGTAATAATAAAGTACGTTCATGTTATTTTTTTCGTGCAGAAGCAGCGTTTAATTTGTACAATTCCGTTGAGGGGGAAGGACGAGCAAATAAATAAATAAAAAGGAGAAATTTGGCGAGGTTTAATGGAAACTCGAGTTACGGAAATTGCTGGGCAAAATGAAATTTGAAATTCCCTCTAGGGGATGGTTAGAGATACCAAGGAAGAAGTGAAATACACACAAAAAAACATAATGCAAGGGAGCAGGATATAGATAGAAGGAGGAGGAGGATGAAGAGGAGAAAGAAGATGGAGATGCGGGATGGGTAGTAGGTAGGTAGGTACGTCGAAGGGTGAGTAAATCAGGGCTGAATATATTTCAAATTGCGTTGAATGAGAACGGAAATAAGAAATCTCACATAATTTCCAGGGGACCTGGGTTGAAAAGGGTTTTTTAGATGGGAGGGTTTTGCAGGAGGGTAGGTCTGTAATTTAAATAGAAATTGAATTCGCGGCGGATCAAAGCGGCACAATTAACGTGGCCGAGGGTGGAGGATCGATCGGATGGCTGGAGGATGCTGAAAAATTGAGAACTAAAGTGCACACGGGAATTATTCATGTCCGTTAAAAGCCGACCGAACAACAAACGAAACAAAACTGTGTTTATGGAATTGTAATTGTGGAAATTATCTTATTCTTCGCAGCCTCCGCCGCCGTTGCCTGTGTCGTCGTTTGGAATTCCGATG